GAGGTTCTTAATCGATATAAATTTGTATTCTAATATTTTTACTATCAAATAATGCCAGTCATGTAACCAAGCAATGTTTCTTGTGACAAATTGTGCAAGTTATTTGTATAAAGCATAAAGGAACTATATATTGAAAGTTATAACCCAAATTGCAGCCGGGCAAAAACTGTGAATGAAAATTTGAAAATGAGTGCTGCTCTCTTGTCTCGGTTTGATTTAATTTTCATACTGCTGGATAAACCTGATGAACTTCTGGACAAGCGAGTCTCGGAGCACATTATGTCAGTAAGTTTTCCATCTTCTTACTTAGTGTTGGTGCTTGTACATAAATTACACACTGTTCATATCTCATTCGTGGTTGATGGGAATGACATCTTTGTTTTTCATCTTGATAAATGTAGCTACTATTATGGTGATGATAAAGTATATTAGGAGGTTTTCAATAATTGTTTGAACTTTTCAGTTGTTAAATAAGGTTGTCTCCAAACTCTACTTTCTTTAATATAACAGATGTATCTGCTTATGCCAAGGATACAAATTATTAATTGAGGCTAATATTCATTTCTGCATAATTATTCTAGGTTTTCCCCCTCGTGTCTTGTTTTTTTGATCTAGAAGCTACTCTTCTTCTCAAAACCTAAAAACCACTCTCCAACTAGCAAGGGTAGGGAAGCTACTCTTCTTCTCAAATAAAGGAATTTAATTGGTAAATAGGTTTGAACATCCGATGTACAGGAGACATGACTTGCACTGGGACCAATAGAGAAATGCTGGAAGAGTGTTATGAAAATTGCAAAGGAAACATTATTTGCCACATGGCATAGATGAAATCATAACGGGCTTTCTGTGTGTTAGATTTTGGTGTTCTTTCTGTTGGACAATATCTTTTCTCCCAGTATACAAAGGCTCGATGTTTTCATATTTTTACCAAATATTTTCTCAAATCAATACTGTCGGTATCTTATTTTTTATTTGATCCTATGTTTGTCTGTTGGTACTAAAGATTAAAGGTTCAAATGTATCTGGCAGCTTCATGCTGGGCAGCATTCACCGGCATTGAAAAAGCGACGTGGAGGTTTTCTCTCCACTCCGTCTTGTATTTTTTAGATTTGCTAGAGCATCCAACTTATTGGTAAATCCAGATTCCAGATTCACTAATGAAGAATATTCGTTTTAGCCAGATCCTCCTTCTGATTCAAGAGTTGCTGCATCACAGAATGCTGATGGTGTAGGTTTGGGCGTTAGATCTGGTTCTTTAATTTCAAGGTTGAGACTTGACCCACACAGGGACAGTGATTTTGTTCCATTACCCGTTCAACTTCTTCGCAAATACATTGCTTATGCAAGGAGTTTTGTCTTTCCTAGGTGATCTGATGTCATATCTATTGATTGTGGTCTAAGTATTCCCTTGGGAAGCTTATAAGAATTTATTTTCTGCCTCTTTTCTCTTTTTGATTTCTCTTAATCAGGATGTCCAAGCCAGCAGCAGAAATCTTACAGAAGTTTTACCTAAAACTGAGAGATCATAATACTTCGGCTGATGGTACTCCAATAACAGCAAGGCAACTGGAAAGTCTACTAAGGCTAGCTGAAGCTCGAGCTAGGCTGGACTTAAGAGTAGAAATAACGGCCCAGGATGCAATGGTTAGTTAATTTTACATCTTAATATGACCTGAACAATGTAATAGCACCAATAATCTTTCTGCCCCTCGAGTTTAATCAAGTGAATGCAAGTCTGAGGTCTAATGTTTAGCACAGCTTGGGTTCGGAGAGTTGTGACTATTAGTTCACGTGAAGGCTAATATGTAATTCTTGGAACAGCTAAAAAGCCACCTTTCTAATATCGATAAAATGCTATTTTAAACGTTAATATTCCTTGCAAAAAGATGAAAGGGAAATAGTTTTAGTAGGTCAACAATATTTCCTGCCTCTACTTCCATGTTATAAAATTTCCTTTACCAATTGAGGAGTATATCGACAACTGAATGTTTCCTGTCCGAAGTTTAAAATGTCAAGTTTTTTCTTGTCATGAATTCCTTGAGTCATTCTTGTAACGACATCGTTTGTTCAGGATGTTGTTGAAATCATGAAGGAGTCCCTGTATGATAAATATGTGGATGAGCATGGAGTCGTGGATTTTGGTCGAAGTGGGGGTATGAGTCAACAGAAAGAGGCAAAACGCTTCCTAAACGCCCTCAATAAGCAATCGGAATTGGAACAGAAAGATTGTTTTTCAGTATCTGTATGTGCTCATTTTTTTCCCCCTGCATTTGCTTTCGGTGATTTCTGTACTTAGTAAAAGACGCGTGTGTTCCTTTTCAGGAAATATACAGTCTCGCTGATAGGATTTCCTTGAAAGTTCCTGATGTTGACACTTTCATCGATAATTTAAACAGCGTTGGTTTTCTCCTAAAAAAAGGACCCAAGACATATCAGGTATGATGGCATTTTTACTATCCAGTCTTTTTTTGTTTGGCTAATCTTCAATTTCTTTATCTTCCACTGTCAACGGAGCTATATATTTCATTTACACTTTTTTGATGATTTCCATCTTAATTGTCATCTGTCTTTCTTTCGTGTACTACGACTTCCCATTCAAACCACCTCCGTAAGTGGAAGAAATTTTTCTAGAATTTTTCATGACAAAATCAACCTTTTAACTTGTGCAGGTGTTATCCTCCTCTTATTCACGAAGCCAATCATTTAGTACAAGGGGCTAAACTGAATTTGAGTGATGTACATTTTCTCCATATACTGAAGATCCCATGCCCAAAATACTGGGAATGTACTAGAGTACTATTCCTGGTCTTGTTGATGTGTAATCCACTAACGGCTTCATCCCATTATTGTATTTTTCATAGAAGATGCCATGTCATTTGCAGGAATGGGGTAAAAAATCTCCCATGTTGTAAATTATGTTCCAATTTTCTATCGTATATCTTGTAGCGACAGTATAAGCCCAATATCTTCTCTCCTTTGTTGACATGTACTAAGATTATGTGACAGGGATATCAATCATTTCTATTTGAGACAAGAAATATAATAACAGTGCACAATTTACGCAAAGTCAGTTAAAAATTGTAATTGGAAGTCCAAAAAATAGCATGTAATTTCAAGAAATTTCTTGAAAATTATAATAACCCTGATTTGTAATACATCTAATGGTATAATATTAACTAGAGTAAATATTCTTTTGGATCTTTAACCAAAAAACGATCTGCACTTTAGTCTCTTACAAAAAAAATTAGTCTCGAGGTCCCTAAGAAATTCAAAATAGACTCATTTTAGTTCTTTTGAAGGACTAATGTGGGTCTTTTTGACTTTGTGAGGGACCGCGATTTCAACTAAATGGATCCACTTTGAATTTCTTAGGAACCTTGAGAGTAATTTTTTTTTTTGTAAAGGATTAAAATCGAGATCGTATTTTTTATCAAGGACCCAAAAAGCTATTTACTCTATTAACTATTTAATCTTATATAATTCAGATTAATTAAGAGGCTTAATACAAAGGATTGGATTAAATATTAATTGATTACTCACACTATAGATAAAATAAATATAACACTTAGTTCAATTAATGCGGGAGGTGTGTAGTCATGTAGGAAGACACCAATTAAGAGAGCAAATGGGCTTAAGTGAGTATGAATGGGCTTTGGCGGGGACAGTGAGGGCCTTGGCAGAACGCTCCTCGCTGGGAAGGTCGCTCAAGTGAGCTGCCCATCGAACGTGTTATTTTCTCGTTCATGATTGCTCACTTAAATCTCCCTCCCTCCCTCCCTCCCTCCCTAATGATTTCATTGATTGGATTTCACTTGACTGTCTATAGCTCCATTGCGTGTGCTCGGAGTAGAAGTTTTGTATAAATGTATCGCCATGCTATTAAGTATTTTTATTTAAGTTCTTTTCTTTCTAAGAGGTGGAATAGAATAACCCTTCCCTCCCTAATAATTTCGTGGATTGGATTTCACTTAACTGTCTATGGCTCCATTGCGTGTGCTCGGGGTAGAAATTTTGTATAAATGTATCGCCATGCTATTAAGTATTTTTATTTAAGTTCTTTTCTTTCTAAAAGCCCTCCCTCCCTCCCTAATGATTTCGTGGATTGGATTTCACTTGACTGTCTACGGCTCCATTGCGTGTGCTCGGGGTAAAAGTTCTATATAAATGTATCGTCATGCTATTAAGTATTTTTAAGTATTTTTATTTAAGTTCTTCTCTTTCTAAGAGGTGGAATAGAATAACCCCTCCCTCCCTCCCTCCCCCTCCCTAATGATTTCGTGGATTGGACTTCACTTGATTGTCTACAACTCGATTGCGTGTGCTCGGAATAGAAGTTTTGTATAAATGTATCACCATGCTATTAAGTATTTTTATTTAAGTTCTTTTCTTTCTAAGAGGTGGAATAAAATAACCCCTCCCTCCCTCCCTAATGATTTCGTGGATTAAATTTCACTTGACTGTCTACGGCTCCATTGCGTGTGCTCGGAATAGAAGTTTTGTATAAATGTATCGCCATACTATTAAATATTTTTATTTAAGTTCTTTTCTTTCCAAGAGGTGGAATAGAATAACCCCTCCCTCCCTCCTTTTACCCTGGAAAATCACTAACGATGTAACATCGGTTAAAACAAAATGAGAAAATGATATAGAGCTCAAAGGGGCCAAAATTTTGGGCTGGCTTTCTGTTATTCTTGATTATTCTATCTGTAGAAAGAAATAAAAGGTCCAGAGATCTAATCATACAGCAACATTGTATAGGGGAAGTAAAAGGTCCACACAGGTGCACGGTGCACCATATTGTACAAGAAAAAAAACTACACATCACGTCTAAATGTCTACTGTACGGATTTCAAAAACATGAACAATCTTCATCCATTATTGTACGAAGAAATAAGGGGGAAGAATATACCAATTTATGCTTACAATCAGTTACCTAAAATCTTCAGTATTTGCCAGACAAACAGGGCTCCTGGATTTACAATGTAACTTTGATATAATAATTCTACTCCAAAGAAAATATACAAACCTTAATTTAAAAAAGAAATATCCAGACACAAGAACGAACGTCTCCTATGTCAGTATTCACATAACATAAAATACATTCAATATGCCGAGAGCACCTACTAAAGCTCCACCGGGCATTGAAAACACACGTTACCGCAACTGGAGGACTTAAATACCTACTCTGGGCCTTGCATAGGAACCATCATATGTTGACCCTGAGATTAAAGATTAAAAAAAATAAAAGAATTAATATCACAAATTCATTGCTTGTGGTGACATAAATTCCTTAAACTAAGATATAAAACTTATAAATCAGAGAGGAAAAACACCCTATCATAAATAAAAGTTGCATGCTCAATGTTATGTTCCGCAATGAGTAACTATAGAGGCTCAATGTGGTACTTAAGCCACCAGGCTCTCCCATCCAATAGGGCATCTTTAGGTATGGGTTGTGTGGACAGGTTTGAGTTGTAACAATTTGTACTTCTACCGAGAGCTGGCCAATGAGGAAGCGGCAACCTAGAAGCTAAAGGGATACTAGCAAAAGAAGGGTCAAAGTGAAAGCCATACTAAGTGGGCAGCCAAAATGGGCCATCGTGGATACAGCCAAAGGGGCATGCAATGTTATGTCCACATTGAGTAAAGAGATAGGCTCAATGTGGTGTACTCAAGCCATGAGATTCTCCCACCCAATAAGCTAATTTTTTTGGCATAGGCTCTCCTTATGGGCTTGAGTCATACCACTCAAGATAATAACCAAGGCTAATCTATCACATTTGGTGATAACTGATTCCAAATAAGTTTATTTTGAAATAACATCATCAGTTTCACCCTTTAATAGTTGGGTAAAAACTAGTAAGTTATAGATTCTTTTCATCCAAGCACCGAAAACCCAGTTAAGATATTAAACCACTTCTTTTAAACCTATGAAGGCTATGAGAAAATGGTCTTAGAGAGTACTTCAGGAAATCAAGTTTTCACAACATCTGTTAGAATTTGAGGATCAGGTAACTTTATAGCTTAAGATACTTCATTGAATTCAACTCACTTTCACCCAGAATTCACTGCCAGAAATATTATGAATTTAAAACCATGGTCACTAGCATTACTTGCTATGCATTTGCAGGAAATAAAATCTCTATCTTAAAAATAAAGTAAACTATATGGCCTTAATACAACCACGAAAGAATGCGCAAAATGTTCCTAAAAAAAGTCAGGGGAAACAAACTAACTTGGCAAAACCCAAAGATAATACTTCAGTAACAATACAAGTGGGTAGCAAGGCTCCAGCCATCCAAACCAAAAATTTCAATAATCAGGCTTGAGATTAAAGATATATAATAACACTTATTAATATTCAACAGGATAGTCCAAAACCATAAGTGGTGTACTGATGCCAATAGCATCATTCACACAATGAGGCTGATTCGCCCAAAAAACTTTATATCATTGGGGTCTGAACCGCTAAGAAAACATCCAGCCAACCACCACTACCAGATCCACATAACCTCATTTACTCCTAACACATTTTGTAAAAATAAAATAAAAAAGAGAGTAAAGAATCGAGGGGCCACAACAATGCTAACTTTTTTTTATTGTTTGTACAATCCATTAAGGAGGTAGAATCTACAGCAACTCTCACTGCCCAACCAGATCCAGAAAAATGCCCTTCAAAGATGGACCACATATACAATAACTCCAAATCAACCAAAAAGAAACTTAAGAAATTGGAGGAGAGTATAGAGAGAGATAGACTCGCTGAGCCTAAATAATAATCTGTAATTCATGCAACTTTCCATCCAGAACTTTAATGGGTGCATTGATGTGCGCTACCAACCAAAGGTATCTAACTCATTGACAAGAATTATCAGGCATTAATTCTAAGATGGACATTTTCAATAGGCAGTCCCACTATGCTTTCTAATATCAAATCAAAATGGTATTAGAGCCAACATTGCGTGGAACATTTTAACTTAAGAAAGCTTCAAAGAAAAGATTTTCAGAGGAAAATGAATTAAACAAAGTCCTGTGAATGGAAGTATCAGTAAATCACACATTCTGTTTCTGTCATAATAACTATTGTTTATGCCTCAGGGTAATATTCAATCTTGATGTAAAATGGGAAACAGAAAGCCTTAAAATGGCAGTTACAATTCAGAATTTAAACAAGCTTAGCATCTTCGTTCAATAACATTCAACAGGAAGAAATGATATATTGCATTAGAGAAAGAGAGTAGGGTCACCTGAGAATTTGTGTAGCTAACACTTTGTGAAAAAGAACCTTGATGTGCAAGCTGTGGTTTCACAACAAAAGATGCCAACATCAGAAGCTATTGTATTTTATATATATTTCTCGCAATACAATCATGTATAATACGTGTGTGTGTGTGTGAATTCCACCTGAGTATTAGGACTAGGTTGAACATCTTTCTTAGCAGATCCGTCTCCACCCTTGGCCGAACCTTTGGTATCACCCTGAAACACCACAAATTGAAAAGTCATAACATAGACGTGCAGTTAGAGAAATGTAGTCAAACAGAACAATTACTAAACGGAATAGCTATTCCAAAAATGGAAGAAATATTTGAAATTACCTCCATCTGCAACATTCCCCATCCACCCAGGACAAAGCCATAACAAAAAAAAAAAAAAAATCACTATCAGGGAAAAGCAGAGTTTAAAAGCAGGAAAAACAAAAGAACGTTCCGTACCGAACCTTCATGATTGCTGGGGGGGACCAGAAAAGCTTCTGAATCAAAAGTGAGAAAACTGTAAATTTTTAAATTACCTCTCTGTATCTGGCGAGGTAAATCTTGAGAGGATCAATATAATCCTCGAAACCGAGAGTGGCCATCGCCCAGAGCAAGTCGTCACCATTAATGGTCTTCCTCTTCTCCCTCTGACACTTATCGGAGGCCCTACGCGACTCAACGACTTCACAATTTAAGAACGAGCAAGGGGGAGGAAAAGAAAACGAAGGAAAAAAAAAACAAAGATAAACATACTCGCTGGTGATGAAGCTAATGAACTCGGATACGCATTCCTGAACGGTCTCTTTGGCATCCTTGGCGATTTTCCCATTAGCAGGAAGCGCCTTCTTCATGATGCGACTGATATTTGCGATGGGAAGGTACCTATCCTGCTCTCGGATGTTAGAGCGAGGGCTGTGCTCGCCACTCTCGTGACTGCCGCCGCCTGGGCTAGCCGGACCGTCGGCCATAGTCGCCGGAACCCTAATCTGAGAAAGGAAGAACCACAGAAAAAGAAAAACATAGTAAAAAAAACCCTAGGTCGGGATCGATGCGAAACCCTAGAGAGAGAGAGAGAGAGAGAGAGAGGTTATGTTATGGGAGGGATGGGAAATGTTAATGATACCTGGGGGGCTGTGATTAGTTTTGTATTTGGCGCGAGTTTAAGATGAGATCGGTGAGAATGGAAGAGAATCGGACGCTGGAGAAGAAAGCAAGGAGGAGACGATTGAGATGAGACAATAAAGCCTATCACCACCGTCCGTTTTCTTTTATTACGCAACCCTTCTTTCCTCCCTTTCCTTAACCTTCTCTTTTTCTCTTTCTCTTTCTTTCATCTCTATTTATTTTATTTTATTTAAATTTTTTTTCTGGATTCAGCTCCCCTCCCTCACCTAAAAAAGTAACATAAATAAGAATTACTTTTTTAACCTAAAAAATAAAAAATAAAAAGAGTTTCTGATTCTGCGCTGAATTTCATTTATGATTCTGATGAGGTGATTTATTCGACCACGTGTTGGGACTGTTCTGTACTTTGGTAGTCTCTGCTTGTTTGCCATTTGGCAGCTTGTACGGTCGGTGGCCTGCTGGTTTGTTTACCAACGACGTTTGCTCCCCCTTTTTTGAGTGTAAGTGTACATGCGCTAACTTAATTAATCCATAGGTTAACGTTAGAAATTTTGTTGGTCCGTTTATATGCATGTTTATGAGCCCAATTATATTAAGAGGGACATGGCTATTGAATCTATCCTTTACTTTCTAGGGATAGTGCATTTAATTTATTTAATTATTAAAACATCAATATTCGGGACAGTAATCATTTTGTCACGTCTGACCAAATTATTTATCAGACTGTCACGTCAACCGTAAAAATTTCTGGAATGCCACGCGGCATAATTCGCTACACTATGCAGCGAATTATGCCGTGTGACATTCTGAGAATTTTTACTGTTGATGTGGCAGTCTGGTAAATAATTTGGTGAAGCGTGGCAAGATGGTCACTGTTCCTCGATATTCAAGCGATTGAAGACGAACATTCTAACTACAAAAAAAATGACGAATATTCACGATAAGCCTTGCGTTTAGTTGTTGCATAAGCATAATTAGGGGTGTAAATAGATCAGCCGACTCAACCTATTACATATAAAATCTATTTGGATCTTTTCTTTTTTTAATTAAAAATAACTTTTAAGCTAAAGTTATATAAAATAGCTTAAGAAAAAAAACTAAAAATTATTTGGTGATTACATAAAAAATTAGCTAAAAACACACATTTCAAGAAAAGTCTATTTCCTTATCTCTATGGCTCTTTATTTCAATAAAAAGAAAATAATTCAAAAAAAGTTGAGAAGAGCTTAAAAAAACTTCTTTTAGCAGTTTTTGACTTTTTTTTCTTTATAAAAAAAAAATTCATTATAAGAATTTTTCTCAAAATATGTATAAGGAGAAGAAAATCTAAAAATAAGAGGATTCCAACAGGCACATAATCAAATAGAAATGGCTCAAGCTTCAAAAAAAGCTTATTTAAAAAAATAGAAATGGCTCAAGCTTCAAAAAAAGCTTATTTAAAAAATAGGCCATAGACTTTCTTTTACATGCCAGGCTTATAAGCCTACAGACTGACCTATATTATATTATTTAAACAAAATAAATAAATTATTATTTTAATGATTTTAAATAATAACGTAATATTATTTTAAATATTTTTTTAAATTATTGAATGTCTGATAGATTTAAATAGGCTAACAAGCCTAGGCCAATCTTTTATGTTTTAAATATAGGTTAGATCAAATTTATATTTTGAGTCTACACAAGACTAACAAATCATGTCAATCCTAAATTATTTTACACGAAACTGATCTATTTAAGTTAAATTCTAACCTGACCCAGCCTATTTATGCTCCCCTGGTTGCGAGTTATTTTATTTTATTTTTAGTTACTTTTTAATTGTGTTTATCCAACTTATTCAAGTTAATCAACAACAAAAAAACTTCATCAACTATGGTTGAGTGTTTTACTACGTGCTCACCTAATTTACCACACTCAAAAAATTATCATCTTCAATTTTATGAGTAATTTCTACTTTGAGATAATAATTATTCATTATTAAAAGTAAATATAATGATATGAATATTATTAAATTAAATTTATTTAAATAATTATATAATTCTTGCTTCTTTAGTGTCCATAAGTCAAGGCGACAGAAGGTAAATTGAGATCTTACATTACTACTACTGCAGGAGGAATCCACACTTTTCCCCCCTGGTGCTCTGCAAAGAAATAACAAGTCCAGAATGGCAATTCAATGTACACAATGCCATTGATGCTTGCAAAAGCAGAACATATAAACTTCCGTATACATACACACTGTTCATTTGGATGGCAGGGGGCATCAAACATTAGACCAATATGAACAACTGATTAACTGAACAAGGACTCCAGACAAAAAAAAGGAAAGAGAAAAATTAAAGTTAGAGGAAAAAATAAATAGGAAAATATTGTGCTTGTTCACAAGAGAGATTTATCTTGCCGTAGGCTGTGCAATGGATTCATCAATTGACAGGTAACTCTCAGCTCCACCCAGATCCATTGAACCCATGTTCATGGAAGAATGAAAAGAATTTCTTGGCATCTCGTCCGAATTGCCTTCCCTTAATGTTTCAACCTCTCTCTCAATAGATATTGCATCTTGGATCTCCTTTAGAACCTCTGAAATTGATGGCCGCATATGTCCATGAGGTTGAACGCACATCAATGCTTTCTCTGCTATTTTCCACATTGATTGTAGGTCATAGTCTTTCCGTAGCAAGGGATCAATAATACCTTGTATATCTCCACTCTCAATGTGTAATTTTGCCTGTGAAACAAATAATGCAGGCAACAAAAATTTAGTTGATGTAAATGCAATTTAACTTAATATGGCAGGTCTGCGCGTCTATATAGTTTATTCAGTGGTCCCTATCGCTCTATGCTGAAATCATTGCTAGGTTAATTTCAGGGAAGAATTCAATTTTGTTTCAATAACAAGCATAGCAGTATAGGAAAATCCAAAAGAATCTTTTAGCTTCTCAGACAACTTCATAAATTTACATATGCATGTTATTATAATTTATTTTTTCAATGCTGAAAAAAAAATACTGTACAAATCATTTCAGAGAAAACTACAGAGGATTTTAGAATTATACACTTTCTTTATACCATAAAATTCTATGTTTGCAGAGAAATTAAAACTCACCCACTGGGTTATACAAAAAAAAAAAAAACTCACCCACTGGACTATGTTTCGGCAATTAACACCAAAGCTTTCATTCGATATTGCTTCTTGACCAGATATGAGTTCAAGAAGAATTACGCCAAAACTATAAACATCACTCTTGTCAGTCAGCTGCTGGGATATATAGTACCTGTTCAGAAAAAAGTTTTAACAACAAGCTTTGAGGTTACCGGGACCATAGGCAACTTGAGTTTAGTCATCCAACAAAGAACTAGATATAACTTTGTTTGCTCAAACACACAAATTCATGGAAAATAGATAAAGGCCTTACTCAGGATCCAGATATCCTACTGTCCCGCGAACTATACTTGAAACATGGGAGACTCCATCAACAGCAAGTTTTGAAAGACCAAAATCTGAAACTTTGGCTCTCATGTGCTTGTCAAGAAGAATATTGCTGCTTTTTAAGTCTCTATGGATAACGACAGGATTACAACCTGTATGAAGATATTCTATCCCTGAACAAGCATGAGAATAATACAGTTAATATCACGTGATTGATCAAAAGGGAAGGGTCATTCAATCAGAAAATTATAGGAAAAAATAAGTAATTCTATAATCTAAAATGATGCATTGGCATTATAATTTATGAAGTATAAACCTTTGGCAGCATCTTCTGCAATTTCAAGTCGCTTAATCCACTTGATATTCTGTCCATGCGCCAATGGGCCTACAAGAAGTTAAACATAATTGAACATATGGACTTTTTCTCCTTGATTTAAATCATGTAGACTTACCATAAAGATGTTCCTTGAGAGTGCCATTATGCATGAACTCATAAATAAGCATACTATTCTCTTCTTCCCGGCAATACCCAAGAAGCTGTACCAAGTTTCTGTGGTGTATTCTTGAGAGAAGAGTCACCTGGATCAAAGAAAAATATAACTATAATATGAATATCAATTCGAAGACAACAGAATTTAGTAAGAACATTGAAACTAATTTATATATTTTATGCTTTATTTAGAAACAAAGTAAGGTAGGAAAGAAAGTGGAAAAGAATTTTTTTTTGAAAAAAAAACATTTATTTAGATGTCATATAAATTAAAGGGAAAGAAAATGAAGAGAAAAATGCAATCCTCTGTTAAATATTTATTTAAAAATGTCACAAGCTCAATTTTTATTTTCACTCAACTCTTCCTGTTTTTTGGAGAGATGGATTTTGTTGAATTGATGTAAAAATGTTCTCCCTGTTTCGTTTGTTCTTATTTTCTTAGCCTCTCAAACAATGTAATCAGACTTTCAACCTCAATTTCATTTCTCGTCAATCTCCTTTCTCCCACCATCTCAAACAAGTTCTGAGAGACCATGCTATGTTTGAGTGCAGAATGGATTAGTATGGGTACCAAATAACTTGATGGTACCACTTTGTTCTAGTCCAAAAGCCAAAGCTTTGTATGCAGATCTTGTTTAGAATAGCGCACAAGAAAGGCTAGGTGATGGATATCTATTAACCAGCTTGTGTCTATAATTTCCCTGCAATGTATGGGTAAAGTTCTGGAAAACAAGTGCAGTGTTTTAAAGTTCTCTGAGCAATTTCAGCCAAACATAAATTAACTCATGCAACTTTGCTAGACCATGTTGCCACCTCGGGACAGCATCTGGTGGCCATCAGATAATAACTACTAAAAAAAGAGGGAGGATATTCATACTATATCATTTTTCTACTACCATCCACTATAACTATGTACTCCGGGAAATATATATTTATAATATTAAAGTTGTTATTTTCTCTCTCTTCAGACACTTTTTAGAACTTGTTGAGAGAGAAAAAAAAATAATTTTAATATTATAATTATGTACTCCGGGGAGTACATAGTTATAGTAGATAATAATAGATGGTAGTAAAAAAATGTAGTATGGATATCCCCCCTCCTAAAAAATATGCTACAAGCTTTTGCTAGAGCAACCTTCTTTCCTGTTCATGAACAATATTCTAAATAACAGTATTAAATTCTTTTTTTTTTAGATTAGCAGTTTTAAGATCATTAATGAATGAGTAGCAGCCAGTATATTCAACCATTTTATCCCAGCCAACTTTCTTTCTCAAAGGAACACAGCAACAATTTTCTGTTGGTCCATGCATTATTTCAATTATTGATAAATCTATTTGCATCCGTGAAACAAAGCAAAAACCCATAGATCTTAAAATGAAAATGTCACTGAATGAAGCAAAATAGTAAAAGATAGTAGAATGCTGGAATACTTGGAGAGGTTTATTAATAGCAGGTCACCTCATTGGAGAACTCTCGCTTGCCTTGATAGGAATTACTGGTTAGAACTTTAACTGCTATCTCTTTTCCATCTTTCAATTTCCCATAGTACACAACTCCAAAACCACCAGAACCAATTTTTTTCTCAAATTTATTTGTAGCATTTTCAATTTCAGAAAAACTGAAGCAGCGAGCAGCTTCTGCAGGATCATCGCTCTTCCAAGAAGCCAGCCTTTGAGTAGGGAGAGAGATGATGTGGTCTATGAAGAGTGTAAACAAATAAATCATTTTCTATCATCTCAAATATCTGACAGACAAATTAAATAATTCTGTTTAGAATCCTACCTTGCTCATAATATCTTCTCTTGCCTTTATGCATAAATAAGCAAGATATAACAGTAGCCAAAAGTAGAACAGAAGCCCCGACTGCTGAACCAATAATAACATACATGTGGCTCTTTATTCTGCTTCCTCTATGAAGGTTAATGTTTCCAGAGTAGCTGTTTAGGATGAAAGGGGGAGGAGGGAAGTAGTGGTTATCATGTAAATATGATGAAGAGAGGGAAATAGGGGGGGGGGGGGGGGGGGGAACAACCATGCCAAACTGTACTGAAGACAGAATGTAGTAGTAAAGTATCCAATATTACTTTGAAGATTAGCTGAAAGATACTGAAATTGTTTACTTAAGCAATCAAAGCAACATGATTCATTCAGCTGAAAGCCAGAAACCAAAAGATTAATTGAAAAACATCTAAGAAAGAGGCAAGGCTAAATATTAAAAGAACATAATAAAAGAAAAAAGGGCGGGAGAAGAAAGCATAATTGGATGTTGGTCCATTGACATGCCAGAAGGAACAAATACATTAAAAATTTAAAGAAAAATAAAAAACACAATTAGGAATTTCTCTTGAATAATCTTCTACTTAGCTGATCAGACTAGGATTGTTACTTTTTCTAGTTATAAAGCAGCCAAGTTTATTTCATGGCACAACAGATATTTACATGAGCCATGTACAGATTAAGATCTACAAGAAAGTAGTTAACAGGACAGAACATTCCATAAGCATCAATCACATCTTATGTAAATTTTCATCAATTATCCTATAACATGAAATCTGCCAATAATTTCCTCCACTTTCTCATGTGTGCCGCATAGTTTGAAACCCACAAGAAAGAGAGCTGGAAATACTACGGAAGAGAGAATGAATCTAATATTGATGAATGAATCTCAACAGAAAAGGAGAAAATTATTCTCTTTCAAGGGTTTCCCATTTTGCAGTTGAGCTAATGCTCGGTTCTCCAATACTAACAATATTCAAAGCCCCCTCTTTTCTGCGCCCTTTCCACCCTAATAAAGCTAAGCCATTGCTACTATTCCTTTCAACCACCTTAGAGTTTTAACTGTCTTATTCCATCTAACTAATCTAACTGCTTTGACTCACTTGTGTTGGCCTTCTTCTATTCTTCTCTCCTGTGTCCTACAACAAATGGTTTCATCTTATGTTTAAGTTAGCAAGTAAAATTTGTACTTACATGAAAACCAATTCCTTGCTCAGAAGATCTGATGGTACTTTTCCAGATAACATATTATTTTGCACATACCTGCAAACATCAGCATTACCTGAATGATATCCGAATAACATAAAAGAATGAAGCACAATAATTTAAGTATTATTTAAACATGACTCCTGTTTCCAGGGTCATCAAGAAGAAAAAAAACACTCATGTTAGTGAGATATATATATCAAATCCTATAATTAAGATCATAATTGGATGTATCAAAAGTATACTTATAGCTTACAATTCCCTCAAATTTGGAAGGTTCACCAAAGAGGTTGGGAGCACACCCATCAACTGATTGTTTTCAAGATGACTGCAAGAGGAAAAGGTTGCAGTTAACTAAATACTACATAGTATGACTGAGGGAAGAAGTTAGAGGAAAAGGTTGCAGTTAACTAAATACTACATAGCATGACTAAGGGAAGAAGTTAACAGGGATTACATGATCTTTAAGTCCATGCATCCAGTAAAATCTGGTATTGGGCCAGTCAACATATTTCCATCAAGCCATCTGCATCCATGAATAAAATCATACCACTGCCACAATATAAGTTTGATGGACCAAACATGAGACATCAGCAGCTTCATTCCAGAAAAATCAGAAAGCAAGATGAAACTTACAGTTCAACCAGACCAACTAATTTGGTGATATCCAAAGGAATATTCCCAGTCAAGTTTCTACTGGATAACAAGCTGCCACCACCGGGAACACAAAGTAACTATTATAAGATCATTTACACTACTCTTTCAAAACATGTAGTGTAATATTCTTTATCAGAAGCAAACTGGCTTTTCTTTTCTCTTTTTCTTTTTGGGGGAAGGAGAAGGAATCCACATATAGATGAAATTAAAACCTAAAAAAAGATTAACCTTTACATTGAAACTATTCTTGGTTGAGGATCTGAGCTACAGCGGACCCAAGACCATGGAACAGGAAGACATGGGTCACCTCCTTCTTGCGCCCAGTCTGCTGAAGAGTAGTGTGAAAGTACACCAGAAATAGCCGCTCCTGCAAAATATCCAATCCACTTACAATATAAATTTTAATTTTCTAATGCTTCAGACAAGATTTAACTTAGAACACTTTGCATTGAAATAGACATTCTTATAAAATGGTTACTCCAAATAGCTGCAAGTTAGCCAAACAACATATCATACAGTCAGAGTAAATTCTTACTGGGGAACTTACCATCTAGAGAACCATCATTTTTCTCCAGATACGTATTTATCTCCATGGCATTTAGGAGAGGTCCCTTGGAAGAATCAGATGTCTTGCCAAATCTAAAAGAAAGCACAAAGGGTAGGGATATATTGGTAAATCCTGGTTCATAAAGGCGATATTTCCCTTGAGCATTTTCTTCAATATTTACAATAGCCTTGCTGAGATCAGGCTGGCCTGGAAGTACTAGCCTGAATTTTCTGGACTCATTAGGACCCAAATCTTCAATCTCTGCAAAATAGGTGAATGCCCAACCAGTACCGGGAAAACCATCCAAGTTCAACCGGTAAGTTAGAGATCCATTTGTACCCACTACGGCTGTCTGCATCACTTTCACCGGTGGTATTTCATCTCTGTTAACATCAATTGGTATGTTGGTAGAAATTTTCTCAGTTCCAGCAGCAACATCAACAAGATAATTTGCTTTCTTCACAGAATCAGACTCCCAAATTCTATCAAAAGGGTCATCAGGATACCTGAGACGGAAGAAATATATACTTCTTAACAGACAGGAAAGTACTTCAAAAACCACAAGATACTAACTACACATGTTGTCAATTACATAGTTAGAGAGAGAATCTTTGAAATAGTTCTTTGTTATGAAGACAGTTACAATCAATTAAAAATTGTGATTTTAGATAGTGAATAAGGAAATTCATATGGAAGTGCCCTTCCGTGTTATTTAAAGTTTTTTAAACAGGTGGAACCATATGGTTCACTGTCACTGATCATGTAACACTCTTACACACTTAGTGCATCAAAATTAATCCATATCATACATACAAGCACACTTAAGAAAAGATTCTTTAGAAGATTGATTTGTGCAATAGAAAATTATGAAGCAACATATAGAATGGCTTAAGGTACCTGATTGGAGCATCGCTCTCTGCACCAAAATTTATCCTTGCAGAGACACTGAGGTAAAATTGTTCCTCATACTGTGTATAATAAACTGAACCATTGAATTGCCGAAGCTCGAGCGTAGATATGAATGGCTGCCCGGTTGTTGCATTTGATAAGCATACACTCACAGTAGAACTTGAAGCCAAAAATATAAGCTCTCGCATTTCTATACTGTTAGCATCAGATATAACAATAGTAGACCAATGTGTAGCCCCAACAGAAATGTCAAATTTCGGATAAACATTGTTTTTGTCAAAGTTCCCATACAAGAATGTAGCCCTCAGCAGGTACCTTGTCCTACTGACAACATCAAGTGTGTAGCAGTATTTCCTGGAATCAGCAGGAAAGTGTCGTAGTGTCATGTATTGCTTCCGTGTCTCATTTGCAACTGATATTGTGCTTATTTCTCCAATAGTAAGCTCATCATCAGGAGTCCATTCAAGACCAATTTCATCATTGAAATTTTCTGTACCTCCACAGTCCAAACTTACAAAACCTGCTTAGATGAATCCAATTAATTCCAAGCTCTAATACGCAAATTCAACTAACAAACAAACCACATAAAAATATATATTAATTGTTAGTTAAGAAAATAAATAAATCAGAGCAATCGAAACTTGTAAAACAATATAATATAAAGATTCATTAAACCACCATAAAACTTGACCTTAACGGATCTCATGAACAACATCAGAGCTTAGATCTTAGTCTTTTTCGTAATTTGTTTATTGTTTATTTATGCACTATGCAACAAGCGTCAATAATTAAGCTTTCTGAAACAGGATGGTGTGAATGAATTCATTTTTCTCAGTCGGATCATAATTATAGACTTGAATTTCTAAAAATAAAATAAAATAAAAGGTTCTCAGAACACCTTAGGGTTCAGGATAGACGCAAAAACAAGTAATAGAAGTAGTAATATTAAGATAACCGAGAACTAGTGCCAGAGTATAGAGCACTACGAAACTACTAAAAGAGGACGTCATTTGTAACGCAAATTTAGGTGCTAGAGATGAAAAAGCTTCAAGCTAATCTGAGAGAAGAAAGAGACTATAAAGAAGAAGAAGAAACAGAGAAAGAAGAAAGAGATTACCCTGCATGATCTGAGCCGAGGAAAAACGCGATGGGAGTAGCAGTGTGAGTGAGAGTGCGAGAGAAAACAGGAAGAGAAGGCTACTCTCCATTTCTATTATGTGAAGCTTTTTACTGAGATGAGACCATAAAAATGGCGTAACCCAATGCAAAAAGCGACTCTCTCAGTGCCTACACCAGTGGGAGAGGACCATACCGAAATAGAAGTTGGTATCGCAGATTTGTAGTAGCCTACTACTACACTAATAAGGGAGAAAGTACATAACTAAATACCATGCATGTTTGCAATATATTCGAATTATTAATTGATAATATAAGAATAGAATTTGAAAATTTTCACTTGTGACGTTGATATCTTAGCAAAGTTTTAATACGTGTGTTACAATTTTTGTTTTATTTTTTTAATGTGTCATACAAAATAAATTTTTATAAAAAAATCATTCTTTTATTTTTATTTCTATTTTATTGTAATTTAAAATTTTGAATCTCTGATGATATTTTACTTATAAAAAAATTCATTATTATCTAATTTAATAACAGGCTTTCAGCTTTCAGGGCCGTTTTGGTGGTGCGTGGGACCCGCGGCTAGACGAGGGCCCATGATAAAGTGAGAGACTCGTTCACGAAGGAACGGGGGAGCCATATAACTTTATGACGCATTTGTTTGAGAAGAAATTTTTTGAATATTAGAAAAATGTAATTATTAAGGAAAAGGTTGAAAAGTGAGTTTGGTAGAAAAGTTAAAAAAAAGTTGTTTGGTTGGTCAAAATTTTATCAGAGATATTGAGTTAAATTTTGTGAGTCTTTGTTTGGTTGAAGGTGAAATAATGATAGGTAAATGTGTTGAAATACCAAAAATAACCCTTGATATTTTAGAGATGTAGACATGTGTACTTAGAAGAGGGTAATATGGTAACACTCTTCATTCACATTTTTGCATTTTAGCTAATTTTCTAAGAATACCACATCTTAAATGGTAAAGTTTTACCACGATTTGCTTTTGATTTTGCACACACTTGTGAAGGATGGGAAAAAGAGAAGGATAGCTAAATTTTTTTAATCTTTCTACCAAACAAAGCAATCATAGAATGCCACTTCAAAATAGACGGGGAACCAAATAAAAACCTTCAACCAAACGTCCCCTTAAAGAGTCATTTATTTACAAAAATATATATTTAACACTCTTACAAAAAATAAATTATAATTTAATATATAAATGTGAATAAATAAGCTATTAAATATCTTAATAATAATAATAATAATAATAAGAAATTTAAAATTAGATTCAAAATCAAAATACATTTAACAAAGAGAAATTCTGTTTTAATATTTTTTAATATATATCCTAAAAACAAGTAAAATAGTTATAAACATCGATTTGCTTTTAATTATAATTCTCAGTACTTGTTAGTGAGCAAAATTTTATAGGACATTAAATATAAAAAAAAAAAATGAACATGTAAATGGAAAGTGGTGACTAACTGCTAGCTCCTTATGCTAGGACTTGTCCTCTTGGCATTTGGCTTAAAGTGCTTCTGTGTGTTAGATTCTAATTTTCGGATTAATAAAACTATTATCTCATGCAATTAGTATATGAGAATAAAAATCTCTTAGAAAAAAATATAATATAAAATAAAACCACCCAATAAATTTCGGTATAAGTTTATCGCAGACGCTGCATATTCTCAAAATAGTTTTTTTTTTTTTTTAAATGTTTGTTGAGCCAAAGTTTCAAGCCACGGCAATCGCTCTATTTTCCTTTTCCATAGTGACAATCTATATAATTCATAGAACAAGTTGGAACGTTGACTTCAAAACTTTTTTGTTACCGAAACTTTTATTATTATCATATATTAAATTGTCAATCCACATATAAAGAAAATGTTAATTGAAAATCATAAAGTAACATTAGAACCGCATTTGGTAGACATGGAGTTTGAATGCTCAAACCTCAAGGAGAAGTTGATGGTGACATTAACATGAGTGTGGAATGCATGTGTGCTCTTACTTTCATTAACATGGGTCAAGGTCCAAGTGAAATAGGCCCACCTTGACCCACAACACGAGAGAGTGGGGAAGAGAATGTTAGTCAAATTCCAATGTCGTACGGGACTACAATTTCAACTTTCATTTGCATGCTTTAATGCTAGGTCTAATGCTTTCTGCACCAAGCTTTCTTTAAAAATAAACTTAGCCTTTTAAGTTAAAAAAAATATTGTTAACTTAATATATATATATATATATATATATATGTATATATATATATATATACATTATAATGATAAGTAATTTTTTTTTATATAAGGGATCGATCATTGTTACATCTTTCCATAATTTTATAGATAAATAGCATACTTAATATCACATGTTCCTAAATTCACACACAAAGGTAAGAATAATTAGAAAAACTCAATGGCAAATGCCTACGATACGGATAGTTGCATCTCGCTCGTTTACAAGAGAGCGACAGAAGATAGATGTAGAGGATGAAACAATATGGTCAATAAAGATCCCCACATACCTTTCTATCATGTTTAATCACTTTAGTGACCTTTCTGAAAAGCACGACCGATCCAATTTCTTAACTTAATGGGGGAAAAAATTGTGATATGAGCACAGCCTTTAACTTTTGAAAAGATGACAAAATTAAATTAGTTTTTTTAGATGCCTTTGCCATTTCCATTTTGCTTTTGGACTCTCCATCAAACCAAAAACATCACGGGCACGCATTATGATAGCTCCAATGAAGATTATTTTTTTTTAATAATAATAATAATAATAACCGTATTTTCTTAAGCATTAAGTTTACAGAAAACTGTATGGAGAATCAAAAGAAGGGGAGGAGGTACAAAACCAATTAATCTTTAGCAGTTTGGTTTTAGGGGAAATAATTTCTGCCTTTTGAGGCAGGAAATATTTCTTTGCCACTGCAAAATAATGAGAAAGAGAAAGAAATTCATAAAGAGAAAAAAAATCTCACAAAATGATAGACCCCACTCCTTTTTTTCTCTCTCAATGATAGATAAATATTTTCTGCCTCAAAGCCAGAAATCATTTTCCCCTGGTTTTATATCTTTTTTTTTTTCGGTGAATAGTTTACTTTCATGTACCTAACACACCAACACAGAGTAACAGATTAAAGCAGTTTGATTGGTCCTTCATTAATTAATTCCCTCGATGTCATTGGATTCTTCTGATAAAAGTTTGAGGCTTTAACCAATTTTCTTGCTCAAACAATTTGGTTTCCTTTTTAAATTCATGGAATCTTATTTATGTTCTTACGATTATCTCCTTGTTTAAAAGGCAAGTCCAATCACATTAGGTTTCTTAATGATAAAATGTCATCCTTTAATTAACCTGCATCAATAATTCTATACCTCGATCCTCTTTATGTTTGCTTCTTCCACTAAAATATCAATAAATGATTATATTCACTCATATATATTTATTTTTTATATAAGTGAGAATTGAACACATGACCTAAAACCATTCATCTAAATCCCTCACCACTAAACCAATGCTAGTGGCTTATATTCACTAATATTTTATTAATGTAACTATATATAATTTATTGATTTAATATATACAAGTTGAGTGCATAACATTTCTACAAAAATTATGCCCTATATGTTAATTAAGGTCGTGAGATCTTTATAATTTAACTCTTTTATACATTGCATTTTGTCGCACTTGTAAAAGCTTCATTTCGTTTTTATTTTCTTGAATTGTATTCTCATCAACCAAACTTGGACAAATCACAAAAACTATGCGTAAAGAAGGCTCGAAATGAATTGAAATAGTATATAAAAAAGGCTCATGAAGTATGAAGAAAATAAAGTCATCGACCTCTGGATTCAACAGAACATAATAAAAGTGATTACTTCGTGAAGTAATCAGTGTGCAAGCGTCTGACATAAACGTTAAGCTGGCCAATTTCTAGGGTGTATCTTGTGCAACATGGTTGAATATACGGTATGTAAATTACAAAAAGATCTTCAATAATAATAATAATATTATATATATAATTTTAAATTGCAAATTATTATTCTCAATTTGCACATCTAATCATATGAATATTAAAAAATCTTAAGCAACGAGTCATGCGACTATTGCTTCTTCGTCTGCCATAAAGTTTACGAGTAAGCTCCATTGTCATCAACACGGTACAACAGTAATTTCGGCTCATTCATCACCAAATCACCGCACTTAGTTTTTAGCTTTTCTTTTACTTACAAGGAGAAGTTAGGTTAAACAAATTTTTACAAAATTTCTTATAATTAAAAAAAAATTATAATGAAGAAAAAAATCAAAAACCAAAAACCAAAAGGTGGAGAAACCAACATGATTAATCAGGGCAGGCGTTATTATATATAAAAAGTCATTATTTGTCTTTAGTGAAGTAACTGGTACATTGACAGTTTTATTTTCAATTATTCATCTTGATAAAAAGGGTTAAGGATAATACACATATATTAAAAGGATAATCAAAACAAGGTGGTCAACAATAAATTAAAAAAACACAAACTTCCATGACAACCAATCCATATATATAGGTAGGAAAAACAAGTTCAAACCTCGTAGCCACATTTGCATGGCTTCAGCTGCTGATCAGTAAGGTCCATCTCCTCAGTGCATATGGGACAGGATTTTTGTCCTTTGTTACACATGATTGGTCATACGACGAAATTGAAAACTGAAAACCCTAAGGTAACTTAGGGTGAGAAGAGGAAGAAGAAGAGGAGGCAGAGGAATCAAAGGTGGTTTTGGTTGAACAGGCTGCAATTAAAAATCAGTCTTCTCTCTCTTTCACCTTCTAACAGGCTGCTAACTGTCAAAGGTGGTGTAAAGATGTTTCAAAAAAATAAAAAAAAAGTGGTGTAAAGAACCAATTCAATCCAAAACCTTAAGCTGTTTGGGTGAGGTTACATTAATACTTTTTTATATATCTCAACATGCCCGGGTGGACAATGTACAGTTCCACCTACCTGTGCGAACAAAGAAATTCCACTTGAAAGAAAGTGGGGGGTGGCGAGGATCAAACCGGGACACGAGACTCTGATACCATGTAAAGAACCAATTCAATCTAAAACCT